GGGGGGGGGCGGGGGCTGCTCATCAAGCAGCAAGCCGCACCTCTTTGTGCAAAGTTATCCATGGTCCTCGCTGTGAGAGGTACAACCCATTGTGGTGCTGTACTACCGAGCGGGTATTGTCGCGTTTCAAAAAGCAGTTTCAACACAACACAACACGCCCCTGAACTTGAGCGGGTATTATGGGATACACAAAACTCGAAAGGATGAAGCGGCGGAATCCTTCAGCCTGCGGACCGCCGCACCCGCGAGCATAACCTCCCCACAAGTACCCCGAGTTTGTCGATTGAGTTCTTTTGCGTCAGAGTTGCGAGCCCAATATAGAGGGTGAACTTTGGAGTGATCGAGGCGCTACAGAGAGACCGGTCTAAATTACGAATTTCTCTGTCGCACAAAACGGGAAATGCCGGAGCGACGCAGTGAGAGAAAAAGGGAAAAGAGGGGGAGAGGGGGGGGGGAGGAATGACTGTACCAATAAAAAATATAATATAAAGATAAAAGAATCGACTGCAAGTCAATCACGCCGAGTTCTTTTTCCAATTAGCACTGACGCCCGTCGGAAAGCCGCACATTTCAAAGCAGAAACTTTTTCCCTCGTTGTTATTTGTCTTTATTGCCCCGACGGCGATGTTGTCCCGCCCCGTGCCGCCTCCGCCGATGAGAGCAGCGAGACACACACACACAGACACACACAGAGGGGACTGGGACTGGGACATTATTTTATCATTGCTCATGGCCTTGAACTTGATTCCGGCCCTACGTCGATTCTTTTCTTTTCCGCTCAGGTTCCGGTTCCTCTCTCTTTCCGGAGTGCTGTCGCGCCCGGGTCGCCCCGGGGTGGGCTTGTACACGGCGGTGGGGGGGGGGGGGGCAGGACACAGGAGCAGTGCGCCTCAGCCGTCGTGCCCGGCTCGACCAACTGATTGGAATGAATTCGGAGTGTGACTGACGGAGCCGCCTGTGCCCTGGTCGCAGCCGCCCAATACCCAGGGACCGGGCCGAGCCGAGCCGAGCCGAGCCCGTCGAATAGGGAATGTGCGAGCGCGACCTATACGCATGTGTTTACTGAGCGACCCTAACAGACTGAGCCGAGCCGACACACCAGCCGCCGGGTCGCACGGATAAGGGACTGTACTGGGCGAGCCGAGCCGGGCGCCGGGCGGGGCCTGGCTGTCATGACTGCATTATCATATAGGCATGCGGCGTCCCATCCGTCCCCTTCGAAACTCTGCCCGGCGCGACGATGACGGCGCGAGGGCGCGGAGCTGAACGTCCTTGGACCGCGCGCGCCACCCTCCTTTCCCCCGCACTACCACCAACCCCCTGTTACTTCCACACGCCCTCGCCATCATTCTATGCTTCATCGAAGTTTAGGTGACTTATCGAATTTCTGTGCCATTTTCCCGTCGGTCGCGCCCAGGTCACAGGCCAGAGTGCGATGCCATGCCCCCGGCACCCTTCCCCCGGCCTCATCACAGCGCGCTCGTCCCTGAGGACTTTTCTTCATTTCCCTCTTTGCTTTCCGCCCGCCAGCGCGCTGTTGTCTGGTGATTCTTCTTGCTCCGTCGCCGTGTCACACCTCGAGGGAGGGAGAGAGAGAGAGCAGCAGAGGCGAGAGCGCCTGTCGGGTAGGCAAACCCCCCGGCCGCGCGACACGCGTGCACCGCCGGTGCCTACCCCCCAGGCGCCCCGGTAGGGACCGCGCCGCGCACCACATCCACCACTGTCACCGCCCGGCCCGGCCGACTCGACCTGCGCCGCCCCGCTGTCTCGGCTCGCCCCCGTCTCGATTTCTCTCCCTCCTCCCCCTCCCCCCCACCCGACTACCAACCGCTCTGATTGTCTTTCTACCCCCCTCTCTCTCTTCTTGTTGCAGGTGCAGCGAGCACGGCAATGGACTCCTCGGTGCTGGCCGAGGGGTGGGGGCGAGGGGGCCCCGGCTGTCCCCGGCCGGGGCTGGTGCTGCACTGAGAGGAGCGGCCGCGCCAAGCCACGCCAACGCCACGCCGCGCCACTGACGCCGTACGGAGCCCCGCGCCAGCCCGCCTCTCTCTACCCCGACGCCGCCGCCGCCGCCACATCCATACTGCATAGGCGAACCACTCTCGGAATAGGTGAGTCCGACCGAACTCCCGTATAGTCTAGTAGGCTTAAACAACGGCGCGTAATTCCACCTGGGAATTATTGAATAACTCCGGCGTTGGAACGCGGGGACGCGGGGTGGGGGGTGAATCCACTGTGTGTGTTGGCTGCACAGAGACGAAATAGTGGCCGAGACGGACGCGCGCTAACCCAGCTCTGTGTTCCTTCTCTCTCTTTCTTTTCCTCTCTCCCCACCTCTCTCACTCGCTCTCTGTGTCTGTCTGCCTCAATTGCAAGTACGAGGACGCCCCTTACCTACCCCTCGGCCCTACCCTACTCCGCCCTATACTGCGCCCTACCTTGCTCTGCCCTACCCCTACCCCCTCCCCCTCCTCACCCACCCTTGGCGTCCCCAATGCGGATAGAGAGGGATGTAACAAGGTCGCAGCAGCCGGCCGGCGTATACGTTTTGGCTTTGGCGGCGTGTCCACGTGGCCTTCCTTTGTGCGTATTCCGAGGCGTATTGAGTTCCGAGCCAACGAGGGGAATAAAACGGGGATGCGCGGGGATTGCGATTTACCGAGAAATCTCGACCTGGTTGGGGGGGAGAGCGCACCTTATCCAGCGCTGCCCGCCGGGCGCGCCGCCATGGTCCTCACGGACTGAGCAGGCAGTTATTCAGTCCACGGCTGGTGCTGCTCTGTTTTATCGAGGTGATTTAAAATGGAGATTTTGCGAGCAGCAGCAGCAGCAGCAGCAGCGACAAACGACGAGCGTTCCCCGTCGCCAATTCACTTTGCTTGGGCGGCGGCGGCGCGGCCTGCTGGGCCTCCTGGGCCGGGCCGGGGCCAGAGTCGGAGTGCACCACCTGGCGCCGCCGTTCCCTTCCAGCCGTCCCGCGAGGCGGTGGGGGGTCCTAACGAACGAGCGAGGTCCGCATAGAGGGGCTCGGCCGCTGCACCAACGAGCGAGACCCTGCTGCTGCTGCTGCTGCTGCTTCTGCTGCTTGCTGCACCTGCTGCTGCTGCTGCTGCTGCTGCTGCTGCTGCTGCTGCCGAACAAAACTTAAATATTTGGCCGTGTCTCCGCGCTGCCGTTGCCTTGGCCGTTTAATTACGTGTCGCTCCATGAGGAAAAGCCGGAGCAGCGGTGGACTGTGGCGTGCTGTGGGCGGCCCCTGTCTGCTGCCGGAGTGAGGTTAGGGAGAGAGAGAGGGAGAGAGAGAGTGCGAGAGAGAGCGGGCGACAGCGAGGGAGCAAGTGGGTCTGTGAAGCGCGCGCAGGAGGAGGGAGGAGAAGAGAAGAGACGGGGGGCGGCGAGGCCATCTAATTTCTGATTTAATGCTGATGGTCGTGGGGCCGGCCGTTCCCTTGGTCCGGCAGCGCCCCCGCCGGACTCCTTTCGTGGGGGAGAGGGAGGAAGGAGGAGGGCGGCCGACCTGCGCGCGGCGAGGGCGTGCGGCTCGTTGTGTGCGGCGGTGCTCCGCGGCACCCTCATTAACTAACGGAGTCTGAGTGGCGTTGCGGCCGGGGCGGGG